GACTTCGATGACTTCGGCGCTGGAAGAGGGTCTGGCGGAGGAGATTCTCGAAGCGGGAGCTGTTTTGCGCAAGTTCGATTAGGAACTATCCATGAGGCTCAGTTGACGGAGATGGAACTTACGCTGCGAAGCCGAGCTGGTGAGCACTGGCGGAATGGGAGTGCGCGTGGCTGAAGATGATGACGATGGTGGTCTGGACGACATGGTCGAGTTGGAGAAGCTTATTTGCCGTCTCACCTTAGCCAACGTAGACGGGCGGGCAGGCGCTTGGCAAGCATTGGGTTGCTCATTCGTGATGGGGAAAGCCGTGACGTCGAGGGCGAAGATGGCGTAGTTCTGCGCGTTTTTGGCCTTCTCAGCCGCAGATAAACGGGAGCAACTAGTATGTCACGTTAGTCCCGACTCCAATTGTTCAAGTCATGTGTCTCGACCCACCAGTTGGCAGAGTAGCAATCTTCGGACCTATCGTCGACGATGCCAAAGAACGGGTTATTCAGATCATCAGCTCTTTCGCCATCTCCCGTGGCGATGAGCATGTGCTGGACCTCGTGTACCAGGGCGAAGCCACGCGACATATCTCCAACAGAACCCTCGGCCCTCCAGTTCTCAATCATCTTCTTGTTCGACGCACGCGTAGTATCAAAGAAGGTTTCACAGAGAAGCAGCATGGTGGTACCAAACACGGCTGGTTGGCTCTCCGTCGCGCTGTTCACGCCCGCTACCATGGCGCCATCTGCGCAAGGGCCCGTGGCGCCGGAGCAGCCAAAGACGAGACTGTTCTCCGTGACAGTGTTAGGAGGGAAGAAGGGCTCTGGCTTGAAGCGGAAGGCGGTCTCCACGCTGGGGGGCTTGAGGGAGTCAATGACAACTTGGTAGTGTCTGTCTCGAAGGGTAGCAACCGAGGGGCCATCGCCGGCGTCTGATGGTGAGAGTATGTCAGTGTTTATGAATGATGAAGAGAGATAGGATTGGGCATACCGGACCCAAACCAGTTGTAATAGGCCGGTGAGCTCAGAACATTGGGGTTCTTGAGCGCAGTGAGAGCTTCGTTTGCGAACTCGTGGGCGTCGACGACGGCCTGGTCGATAGTGAGGATTTGTTCAGGGGTGCATGACCACGTCCCCTTGATGATGACGGCTTCGGCATCGAAGCGGGCCCGCTTAACAATGGGTTCCTCCCCGGCTACGATTGGCGAGACGGCCAACAGGGTGCCTGCCAGGAACGAACGAAAATTGAAAGACATGATGTAAGGACTGTATAAAGGAATGTGAGGCCTGACTTCATCTTCATTACCGCATCGGTCTGGTGGCTATTAGGGATCTTTATATCGACCCAGCTTTATGATTGTTTCGAGCTTTGGCATTTCCGAGACAACTCTATTATATAACGAGTTCGTACCAAACGTCTTGCATAATTTACTTCAGACCCATCAGTCAACTGGCGAAGGTGTCAAAAGTCATGACCCTGGTGGTCGAACTGCGTTGTGCTGCGAGCATGGACTAGTAATAGCAGCAGTCAGCGGGGCCATGCGAAAATCAGGGTCAACGTCATGACAGATGTCGGCCAGCTAGTCAGCCTTGTGACTGGTGCCAAGTGGAACTCGTACGTGACTTTTGCTCAAGGTTCAGGTCGTCGGCTTGATGAGAAATTGCGAGAGAGACGATGGTTCCAAGTATGGTGGCGTTTTCCAGGTATTTTCTCCTTCAAAGGCAGAAATTCTGGCATCGTACAACCAAACGAGTCAGCAGACGTTCTTGGTGTCTGTGATGAGTCCCCAAGCCAAGAGCGATGAGGTCCATTCTTTGCAATCGTTCCTCATGTGTAGCGCCAAGGTCAGCGGTTGGATCTCATGGAATATCAGTTCTCAAGCGGAATGGCATGAGTTCAGGATGCAATGAACAGAAGAAAATCGTGTAAGTACAACTGAAAGACATCCCGCAAAAAGAACATTCAGAAATGCACGAAAGCTCGCCGCTAACAGCTGCCAATTCTGCCGAGCTCTTCAGCTGTGGAGCACACTAAGGGAGGCCGAGGCTTGCGACAGCTAAGAGTGAAGCGAGACCCATTGCTGTAGCATCGCGCGCGCTTCGCCCTTCGCTTGACCCAGGCAAACACCAAATTTGGCATGTCAGCGGAGCCTCATCTTACTGTCCGAGAGCGGGAAAGATGGCAGCCGGCGCAGCATCGGACCCTGGCAAACATTAACAAAGCGATAACGAACATGATGCCCGGCAGTCTCGGGCTCAACGTGCTCACCTATGTGATAACATTGGCACGGCTGCTTGTGTTGCTTGCCCCGCATTCTCGACTGAATCTATCTGTTTTCCCAGCTTGGAGGTCGAGATGGCTTGGTTCGACGAGGCGCAATCCCTTGGCTGGGCTCCACACTCTCTGCTTTTAACTTGAAGCTAGACGCAACGAACATTAGCGCGAAACCGTCATCGCCCTATGATTCCACCCAGCTTGGCCAAACTTCGCGTAAGATGGTAAGATGGGGGGCACTTGCGAAGGTAGGAGCCGGCCGCCATGTGCTTGGGCAGAAACCCACATTCTTCGGTTAACTTGGACGAACTGAGGACAGAATAGAATAATTATTAATAGGCAATTAAGGTCCCAATAGCTATATGATTCTGAAAAGTGTCATGTTGCAACTCAAGGACGATTGATTTACAATCTCTGCACAATGCCTCTGCCACAAACGGCTTTTTCAAGCGGTTTCAAGTCTCAGCAAGGGGTCTCGGCACCGCAAATCGACCAGTCGCGGAAGACAATCCGCTTCGTAAGCTTTTCTCAAGATTCAATATCATCGCATGATCATTCAATAACATCCGTTGTCTAATTGCTCGACTTTTCTAATGATGACCGGAACAATTGTCCAGCCGAAAGTGCAACATGCAAGAGGATGTACCTTGGACGATACAACCCACTACGTAGGAAGCTTCGTCTTGGCCAATGAGATGCCCCAGTTCTTTGCCAGATTAGGACAAACTTTGATCGAACATGGACTTTGAATTGTGCCACTGCAACCGTCCGAACAAAATGTGCTGTCCCAGAAACTCTAATGGTAGACCGTTTCTAGGCAGCTTGAATCATGCAAGAAACAAAGATGTGTTAATTCGACGTCGGTTCAGGAGCCTCATTTGCCAGACTCCGGCCCGATTTTCATGCGATACAACTACAACTGAGCAAGTCATTGTTGCCTCATTTGAGAAACAACGCTTTCCATCATGAGCCCTTTTGCGGGCTCATGTTTCCCTCGTCGAAACAGAGAAGATCTCGTTCTGTCCCACGAAAAGCACTAATAATCTTCTGGAGTAGTCCCGAAACGAGCCAAGCACCCATTCAGCAACTTTTGAGTCGCATCTGCAGTCAGCATCTCGATGAAATTCATATGCGTGAAGATAGGCGCAATCGAGATTCTTATGGTCCACCAATTCAGTATCATCTGACGTTCAGCAATTGGATCACAATGGCGAACAGACAATTAGCCGAATGTTTACATCGCGTCGGCCCGAGCCAGCCAAGAAAGTCCCATGGGGACTGGATGTAGGTCCTCGGGATTGTTTACTGGAACGTGAGAGGGGCAGGCTCAATACTTATGATGCACAAAGAATTCCTTGCAGTACCAGCAAAGTTTTGTTTTTTGTCGTCTCCTGCTGTTTGTGCCTCTTCCACGGAGCTCACTTCCGTCAAAACAACGCTACTTGGTACAAACCTAGAACACTCGGGATCGGCCGAAGGCCGTGCTGTATGTGACCCAGATCCGATCAGTTGACAACCTCATGTTCTCCATAGCTTGTTCATTTAATTAGACTCGAGTCTCCACTTGGGTCCAGACATTGGCCAGGAGCCCACACGCCTCCAACGGAGGTCACCTCCGTAGGATTCGACACATGTGAATCGGGCCGCGTCCAGGCAGAATGGCAATAACGCGCGGATCTATGGTTGAATTAAGCTTGGCGAAGCAGGCTGCAGCGGGAAAGAAGACCACAGGCGGGATGTTCCTGGCGCAGGTACTGATTGCCGAACCAACGGCTAATAAGGAGCATTCACAGCGATCAACCCTCTTTTCGTTATTCCACTCAGATTGAATTAGCGAGATGCAGAAAAATGTTGAAGCCACAACGATGATTGAAATTCTAGCAAATCATTACATAGGTAACCGCGCAAAAGATTATGCCAAGTTAGGGAGGTAATGAATATTCTCGACAGTCAGAGAACATCTGCCCCAGCGCAATCAACTTCAAGCAGATAAGCTACATTCGATTTGAGTTTAGGCTATCCCGTATCGCGCACCGACGGGATCTCTCACGGGGATCACAATCCTATTACTTCCAATTTATTCAGCTTGCCGTTAAGGATTTTAATTCCTTGTCACGAAAGGCTCACTCTCAGAGGAGCCTGGAGGATCGAATACCATGTTTAATCGTTTTTCAAAGCTCCTACGGGCATAGACTAGTACATAGGAGGAAGCTTGAAATGCTCTGCAATTTCTGAGGTGGGCTGGTGCCGAGTTCAAGGGAGACTCTAGACATCACGAACGGGTATCTTGACCTACCTAGAGAGCCATTGCTGCTTTTAGTGTGCCCCCTCAAGACACGGGATCCAGGACTTACTCGGTCAAGCTGAGCCTGCCTCAATTACACTGACCCTGACTTTCCCCATCCGTTCCTGCAGAAGGGTTTCAATTGAGGCAAACCGACTCACACTCCATCCGGGCCATGGTCCGATAAACCGGCATTGGAATCCTTTAGTTGAGAACAGAGGCTGCGACATCGTTTGAGATTCACACTCGAAAGAGATAAAAGGGATGGACACGGTCATTTCCTAAATAGCGACCAGATTACTGGCCACGATACCACTGTTTCTTTTACTCAACCTGGGCTACGGCAAAAAGTAGAGTCGTGATGCGCTTCTTGCGAGCTTTTACCGCTTTGGCGGGAGCTCTCTCCCTTTCTGGGGTTTCACTAGCGCAGCAGAGAGCTTCCTTCGCCCACTACATGGTCAGAACCGGTATCAATACCAGCGAAGTTTTGCCACTGACTGTTGTGTAGCTCGGAACAATCACAGCAGAGCATGCCAGAAAGGACATAGAGTCCGCAAAAGCAACAGGGTAATCTTTTGAGTCTTTCATGCCTGGTGTCGTCAAAAGCTCACAGAAGACAACAGATTTGATGGATTTGCACTGAACATTGGCGACCCAACGGCCTCTTTCATCGACACATCCCTCGGATATCTCTACGACGCAGCAGACTCAATCGGTGGCTTTGGCCTGTACGTTTCCATGGACGTCTGGGCATCTGGCGACGCTTGCTGGCATGGGCGTGACTCGTGCAATGGGGTGAGTCGAGTTTTATCGTATGAACCAGCACGTTTTCTAACCACACATACAGCCCCTGGACTACCACTGGATCTTCCAGAAGTACAAGGGTCGTGCATCCTACTATCAGTGGAATGACCTTCCCGTCATCAGTAGTAAGTGTCAAGTATTCCTTCAAGACGCTTGCCATGATACTTACAGTTTATGAAAAGCGTTCTCCGCTGCAGACTTCGACAATGTCAAGTGGAACAAGTGGAAAAAGACTTTGGCGAACGAGATGTTTTTCATCCCCGACTTCGATAAGACCACGGGCTACTACGAATCTCATCCTGGGTGGTGGTACGTATTCCGTCATGACTACATCACACGAGCATAAGCTGACCTGCGGACGATAGGGAATACTGGGGAGATCTTGTGGACGGGCTTTTCAGCTGGGAGTCCGCATGGCCCGAGAGAGACGGTTATGGCAGCAGGAGCCCTGGGGACGTCTCTCTGGACCTCAGCATTGCCCAAGGCGCCCACAACCACAGCAAGCTCTATATGGTTCCTTTGAGCTTTCTGCAGTACAAGAACTCTTACAACGTCTCGGTGTACCGCGCCGGTCTTCATGCTCTTCCGATGCGTATGAAAGGAATCCTCGACCAGATGGACCAGGCCGACTTTGTCCAGTATTTGACGTGGAACGACGGGCCCGAAAGCCATTACATTGCGGAACTATGGTCGGAACAAAATAGCGACGCCCAACCATGGCTGTACATGAACCAGAAAATGTTCGATCACACGGCGCTGCAACCTCTCATCGCTTCTTTCAACCACGCCTTCAAGAGCCGCACCGATTCAACCAGTATGACTCCGCAAAATGGAGCTGTTGCCGTTGGCGCGATGTGGCATCGGCCAATGACCGATGACGCAGTTTGCAATCCTGTGGTGAAAACCATATACACTTCACGCCCTTCAGGCTCTGAAGACTACTACAGTCGCAACATGGCGTACTGGAGTGTCGTTCTCAAGCCGGGACTTCCCAGCGGCTACAAGATCTCCATCCAGGCAGGCGAGGAGGAGCACACACAGGTTCTTACGTCTGGACTCAACTACGGCAATGGTGCCGGCAATATTCAAGCCGGGATTCAGACGATGAAGCTTCTTGACCCTGCGGGGAAGACGATCATGTCGGCTAGGTCCAAACGATGCGTTTCGTCAGGATGTCCGCAAGGCATTTACAACTTGAACTACCTTGTCACTGCTTTCGAAGATGGAGCTAGCGATTCAACTTGCCAGCCGATCGGAACCGAGGTGATGCCCATGAACGCTGTCAAGGAGCTCGAGATACCCAGCTGTGGCAGTGACAAGAATCATTGGCTTTGCCAAATTTGTAACGCCTCCGACATATCGATTTTCGAAAAAGCATCCGTCAAGTGGGAAGCTGGGAAAACCGACATCGCGCTACAAGATTTTCAGACATGGTGGAAGAAGAAGAAGACTGCCATCCAAGCATCCTACGAGAACGGCACTTGGTCGCAAGGAGCGGCAGGGTATTTCCGCTTCGATGAGCAGTTTGTTTGCGACAACAGGGATTTTCTTGGATGCATCGCCGACGTGGGGTGTAAGATAAACGACCCGTGGACTATCGCAGGCTCAAACATCTTGACATCCATGAGCCGGATCAACAATGTCTTCAATGCTTGGCTGACCGCGATTGACTCTGCCACGAGTCAAGCGACTACTATGAAGAACACCGTAAGCTTCTCTTTTCAGTACATGAAGCCATTTGTAATTATTTACTGACTCGAGGCTAGTTTCTGGAAAAGTTTGTGTACGACCCCACCAAGGACATCACCACACAAATGAACACTTGGATCTTGACCCAAGTTTTCGATGCTGTTGGAGGTGGAATTTTCAACCGACTTTCCAACATCATCGGTGAGAGCACCGTTGCTGAAGAAGCTTGGAACTCTATGTACAGCCTTGCCCAAGAGCAAATGACGAAAGCTCTGGAAAAGGCCGAAAAGGACAAGATGACGACAATCACCGATATCGAGAGCATGATCGTTAATATCCACGACATTCAAACATCTGCAGTTGAAGCAATCAGGTCCGCCTACTTCAACGAGAATGACATCTCCTTTTTCGCCTCACAGGTCAAAAGCGGGATGTGGATTAAGAGCTCCATCCTCGACACTTTGGACCTTTCGAAGGCGATGAAGCAAATATTCTTCGGCAACCTCATTCAGAAGGCCTGGTATTCCAACCCCACAAGTGAACCGGTCATCATTATGGTCGAGGATGATGCTTCCGACGTCAACCCCTTCGCCTGGAAGGGTGGAGCATCCGGCCAGCCTGAGACGCTTGACAAGGACGATGTCAACGCTGCTCGTTTTGTCAAAGATGGCAAGACATTCTTCCTTGTCGGGGCTACCAACTGCCAGCAATGGAAGACTGCTGATGGAACGAATGAGTACACGTGTGACCAGGACGCGTTTCAGGGGCTGCAAGGCATTTCACAGCTCAAGAGCGATGCTTCGGAGTGGGGAGGCCTCACCAAGGACAGCATTGTGACCAGTGTGTGGGCAGGCTACAAGTTGAATGGCAACGCCAACGGTTACAACATCAGTGCGAATACGGACAACTCACAGAGGGACTCGAATGGAAACAAGCAGCTGACCATGTACCCGAGCGGAGCAGAGACTCCTGGCGTGTTCTCGATTCCAATCTGTGACTACAAGACTGCTTACCGCAACTTTGCAGCCGTTGGAGGATGGTACCATTCATCTTACAACCGATGCGAGACATATCCCTGCTGCAGTTGTGAGGAACTAGGAATAAGGTGCAGTGATTGATGGGGGGCAAGATAGTTCTGGTAGCTTCGCTTCTTTACTAGTATTTATTTGACTGCAATGTGCAATGTAAATAAAATCATGTCTGCCCAAGGAAAGGAAGTGTGTGAAATGATACCAGTTTGAGAGAAGTATAGCTTACAAGTCGTGTGCGCAGACGAGGCTACTCGTCACGAATCTATCCAGGCATTATCATGGAACACTAACAGCTGCTGAGGTCCCGCAAATCGTGCCTTATCGGATGACGCGAATATTTCCACTTACTTATGCCGCACCAAATAATATGATAAATGCCCATACAAGCCATCATGCAGATCAAAGATATGGCTGTCACCTGGAAGAACAGCAACCACCATCCACCAAAATACAGAAAGCCAATTATCGGAAAATGCCAACCAAAAAGAATTCCATCGGGCGAGTGGGCACGGAGGGTGTTGACCAAGACTGGCGCTACATAGAAGAGGAAGGATATCAAACCGAACACTGCAGAAAAGAGAAGCCCCGACTTTCGGCGGTTTTCTGGGGCATCAGAACTCGCAGTCGAAATAGTTGGAAGTAACGCGTCGGCTTGAATATGAAGGAGCGTTGAGACGTAAATTGCAAAAGGGTGAAGGAAGATAACAGTGTCAAAACTATAGAAAAACATGCTCAATGCGTTGGCGTCCACGACAAGAAGTGAGTTGAGAAATATCAGGAGCAATTGGAAAAGAAACTGGAGTCTGACCCGATACCTCCAGTCGAAATTTAGGTTGTGATGATGTATCGTGTAGATGTCCAGAACCGGATTCAATCTTGATCTTTCTATTGTCATGTTTGACCTTGACCCATTGCCTGGGTGATGCAACCTTTCGTCTTCGACAGCTGATTCAACTTGAGGATTATGCACTGTCGAGGGCACTTTTTCAATGATGAAGTATTAGCAAGATATATACTACCGTTATTTGGGAAGACAACATCACCTGTGCGGAAAATCACTAGCAGTATGCTCTCTGTTAAAGAGAGAAGTGGATACACAAGCAGAGCCACAGGAAGAATCTGGCCAAATGTCCATGTGTTCTGGGGCCCATCTGACCACATATGCCCTCGTAGATTGCCAATGCGCCTTGTTACCCATATTACAGAGAAATATGCAAAGAGAAGCTGAAAGTCTCGCGTCAGGCGTTGTCATCATTCTTGTAGACGAGTTCTCACACACCTCTGATAGCATCGACGCGACAAAGTCGCAGTGTAAACCCGCAGAAAATTGCAACGCTTCTAACGATGGTCTTGCACCATGAATCAGATAATGCTGAGACCATCCAGGCTCCATTTGTTGCACGCAACCATCGAAACGAGACATAACGGCAGCAAAGAAGACTGCACATGATTTTTTGATCTTGGAGGCCCGTTGCGATAGGTGGACGCTCAATTTTATAATCCGGACGGCGTACGCTAAGCAGATAACAACGGATGAGGCGACGAAGGTTATAAATTGTTCAAGTGCTCCTGCACCATCAGACTCGTCGTTCACATCGTAGCTGATAGGCAGATATTGTATCACCTGTTTCATTCGCTCAACGGTAATGGCACATATGGCGTAGTGGGTGTGGCGTGCATAGGGAACCTCGTTGTACCAAAATCCAGTTGGAATGTTCGACATAAACAGCATCAGAGTCAACGCTGTTCCGAGGCCGATCCTCCAATATCGTCGCAATACTTGGTTCTGCAGTGCCGAACGGAAAGAGGCCATTGCAGACATGTTGCTCACGTGGCATAGCCACGCCATCAATACCACAATCTCCCAGTGATATTGCGAGAGTGTGGTTGTTAACATGACTATGGCACCTGCTGTAAGTATAACAATTCCCGTGCAGGTCTGCATATCTGATAGTCCCATGATGAACTGGACACAGAGGTAAATAAATGATCACGAGGAAACTTCCTAGATAGATTTTGAAATTGGGGAACATACCGAATGTAGGATGTCACGTATTTCAGCCAGCCGGTTGTCTTGAAAGAGCAGAGGGAACGTCCAGCGTAGGAATGCCTGTATGGGAACGACTACTCCAGCATCGATCTGGTTGACTGATATACCGGATGTGACCTGCGAACTCGAAGGCGTCGATTGGCCGGATGCAAGTAAATAGTCAATAGTGCCGAGAACAATGACCATATACGCGGTGATGACAAATGCGATGACGACCTGCTTCAGGTCAATAAAGACATTTGATAGCATTGGTCTATCGAATTGCTTACCCCAATCCCTGAAATATCGGCGTAGACTGCATCCGGTCGGTGGGTTTCCGGTGCAGAACAGTTATACTTCTCATATGTACCAACCATCGTGATCGTGCGGGGCGATCGTTTATTGGCCACAGCAGACCGGCTATCACGGTTTAGGGTCGAGAACGCCAGACGCTCAAGAAAGGGGGAATCACTGGCGTTGGTGATTTGGTTCGGGTTGGGTTGCGTACGGAATTGAATGGCGAATATGATTATAAAATAATTCGAACAAGGCTGCTTCTTTTAGGCAGCAGCCGGTGTTCAGTCGCTTTGCGGCGCAGAGAGGACGTCATCGGTGATCTTATGAAGCACCGTTCTGGTTGGCTCGCTGTTCCAAATACCCTGATCATTAGACCCCAGCTCACACTGTACTCCAATTGACTACTACCTCGCCAATCGGAGTCTTCCAACCGTTGGCAGATAGTACCCCGGACCCTGAATATTCCCCTACCTCTCGACATCTAAGCTCAATGAACGCCGATGGATGCAGGGGCAATTTCATGCAGCAGAGACGAGAAACAACAATGATTTAGCAAATACTGAATTTCTTTTGTGAGGGACTGCTTATTTATTACGAGTTAGTTTATTCACTCTCTGCTATTCGTAGCTCGCCCCTTCTAGTGTCCGCTCAGAAGTTGAGATCTTTCAAACGTTATCTAGGTAAAGAAAATTATAGAAAAGAGTTCTCGCATAAAGACAACTTAATGGCTTGCATAGCATAGGTACTGACACCACAAGGAGACGTTCCCTCACGAAGGTCGCTGTGCCAAAACTTGAACATAATCAAACCCCACTCTCGTCCCGTTCTGCAAATCCCGAGCCAGGGTGTCATGCAATCGCTCAACGTCGGCCATTGTTTGAACATTCTCCAAGCCTCCATTGTCAACGACCGCCGTCATCATTGGCCTGACAATTCCCAGAGAAACCATCCGTGCAGCGTCTTGCACACTTTCACTGGCTGCCCAACTAGACCAAATCTTCGTTTCGCAGTCCTGGAAGCCGACCTTCTGGAAGATCTCAGGTAGTCGCGCGGGTCCCCTGCAAGACTGGTCAGAACAGCGTTTTGTCTTCATAGAGGCGACGCACCTTGGGTCTTGTCCATTTTTGATGGACTGCAAGATCTCTATCCTTGTGAACTCCTCAAAAGCCTTGCTGGGCGGAACTGATCGGAAAGACAAGGCAGAGACCTCGTCCCAAACAAGCCATCCACTAGGTTTGAGTAGCTGAAATAAGTTCTTCGTGGCAGTTTCGAAGTCGCTAGCCTTCATTGCAATTAGGAGCAGGCGGACATGGACAAGGTCGAATGTTCCCTGTAGCTCCATAGGAAACTCCTGAAGCACGTCTTGCTGTTTGAATTTGATGTTAGATGATGCAGTGGAGTCAGGAAACTTGACTGCGTCGAAATCGAAGCCGAAAAGCTCTGCGTCGGATTGTAGATGCTGGGCAACAGAGCGCAACCAAACCCCGGTTCCGGTGGCCACGTCCGCTACTCTTGGTGACGAAGTTTGGTTGAGCCAATCGAGTATATGCGTCGGTGCTACCTGACCGGTGAGAGGCAACCATACGTTGAAATGATTGGCATCCAGACGTTGGAGCTCGGTGTCGACATTGCCACGATTCAAAGAGTAGAACGTGTCAGTCCAGGAGGCATCACCAGCTGGAGAAAGAAAGATATTCGCCATGGTTAAGTCGACAGAAAACAATGCGAAGAATGATGCCTGGGAATTTCGGTTGACCTGGAGCGACCATCTTTCTTATGTATGTTATAGCTTCAGCCATCTCACGCTCACCGTAATTATCGAACACACAACAGGTGGCGAGCAATCACCCCCTGATCAGTCGACCAATCCGAAGACGTGAGTGCCGATGAATGTTCAATTGTACCAACGCCAGGAGCAATCCGACCATTGTGTTGGAAGATCATGTGCAGACCAACACATCCAATTGCGGTTCAGCGGTTGAAGGACCCAAGTGCCAAGTCGCTGTTGGTGCTGAACAAGACAGCGATTTTTGACGAAACGAGACCAAACATCTGACAGATCACTATCCAAAACACAAATCCCATTGCAACGGGAATCAACCTGCTCCATTGGGTAAGCTTACCGGCTCTGGGCGGTTGTTCTGTCGAAGAAATGGGAGCGAGAGGGATCTGAGGATAAGCGAGGGTGTGGCTATGACGCCAGAATCTGATGTACTAAACGAGAATCCGGAATCTCGTAAGAGGAGTGCGAAGCAGGAAGTTTGTTTCCTGTGGCTTGGACGATTCAAACTCAATTGAATGCAGGTATTGGGTCAGCATTAGGCATTTCCCAACGGTCGCTCCGCGATCCCATGTGCTCCTGAGTGAGTTATTTCGGGTTCTCCACTTCACAGTCAGATACTGAAGAAATTCGAATAGTATTAAAATTATGAGATATGAAAAAGTCAAGTACATTCAGCTACCCTTGTCTGGTCCTTAGGCCCAACGCCACCGTCTGGCAGGTCGAGACCTGGCCTCCTGTGACTGAGTACATCACATCTGCGCTTTCCAACAAAGTGACACCTGCCACTGGATCCTTGGCTAAAAATACTCTGGAAGCAGTTCCATCTGAGTAATCACAGATGATGGGATAGAAGAGGCCATCATGGGAGTCGACAGCCACGTAGTAGGAATCGTTGGTTCCATCCGGGGCAGTGTACACCGCCCACGTGACCACGGCAGCGCCTGCGGGAGCCACAAACTCGGGCCCGACTCGAAGCCGGGAAACACCAAGTACTGACATCGTGTTGGTGTAGTAGTGCATGAGACGCTCGGCTCCATCATAGATGAGCACGTCCTGTGCAGCAGCCCACAGCTCTGAGCAGACCGCATTCTCTGGGCTGCCGATGCTGACAGGATACATGTTGCCGTTACTGCAGGAGATAATCATTGACGAGTTCGACGAGTCAGTAATGATACCGAATTCGCGGCCAGTGTCATCCATGTAGGGATTTGTGCCGACGGGCTGAGAGGTGTAGTCAAGGTCCGTTGAGCCCGCTACGCTGGTCGTCTCGTCAACGACGTCGCCAGTCGGTTGAAGATCGCTACTTGTCGCATCAGGAGTGGATGGGATGGTCTGAGAGGGGGAGTCTGCGGAGGGAACGACCGAGTCGACAGAGGACTCCGTCGGCTGTACGGGAGCAGGAGCAGTATCAACCGTAGGAGCGGGAGAATCAACCGTGGGCGCAGGTGGGTTAACCGGAGATGGGACTGGGTCTAGTAAAGAGGAGACTGGATCGGTCGGGATGGGAGGGCCTCCTAGGACAGGGGGTGAATCGGTTGCGGTATCAGCGGTAGGTACTGGGAGGTCCTGAGGTGCTCGACGAGAAATCGAAGCCCTTGCCGTTGACGAAGCTGAGGCAACCAGCCTTCGAAGTCACATTTGTGGTCAGTGTTTGCTCGAGTCTGAAAGCAAGTGTGGAGAGAAACTCACGGAAGACAGGTTCGCGCCAAAGGTCTGTCCTTGGTGTCCAATAGAGGAATGGGCTTGCGGCCGGGGATCTCGGCGTATAGTTTGTGTCGCCAGGTAATCTGTCCTGCGATGCCGGGGCATCCATCTGTTGAGGTGAAACCGCCCTCGAGCACCCCAGCGGAGTTTCCGATAGACGCTGCCACTTGAGCAACGCCCTTGATAGATGGTTCGGAGATGACCCCCACGTCCCTCGAAAAGGTGCTGACTTTGATTCCGCACTTGATGCCGATTGGCAGTCCGAGAGTTGAAGAGACCATCAAGCTGCCGTCGGCCTCAAACACTGGCTTGAAGTAAGGCTCCCAGCCTCTGTCGGTGGCTTTGCTGTCGTTGACAAAGTCAAGAACAACGCGAGCATCTTCCAGACCCATTTCGGCACCTGCAAGAAGCCTCCCCTTGGCAGCCGCTTCGAGGGTGACGCTCGTGCCCACTGTAATACGAGGTCCAATAGACACAACTCCAAATGAAAGGCCGGGCAGGCCGAGGCTGAATAGCTCTGCTTTGAAGTTCTGCTTGAGAACAATCCCAGCATCGATGCCGACCTTGAGAACGAACATCACATCTGTACGGATCTCGACCTGGCCTTCGACGATGCCCTCGCCAGGAGTCCATTTGGCTGAACCAGCGACCTTTGCGTTGCCTGTGACACCGCAACCGACGCAGTAGACGTCCATAAACTCTTTGGCGCTCCCTCCGTTACCCCTGACGCTGCTACTGAATCTTCTGAGGAGAACGGCATCACCCCAAGGCGACCTCATCTGCTTGGCTTCCCTCTCTTGAACCCTCTTGGCGTCAGCATTCCCAGATAGTGGATCCGGGAGCTTCCAGACGAACTCTCTGTTGATAGTCCCAGAGAGTGTTGTGGCAAATTGAACAGTCTGATAGGCTTTCTTGGCGATGTTAGCGGCCGCTTTGATGAGTCCCGCCTGCCGCTTGCGATGCTGGTTGTGACGCTTTCTGAAAAAGCCCTCCCCATCTACATCAAAGTCAAAGTCAGGCGGAAGGACTTCATTCGGAAAGTCAGGCGCGTAACCAAGGATATATCGATGATCATCTTGGCTGAGATCCGTGTACCCAAGAGAATCATCCAGATATTCGTCAAAGAACTCTCCTAAGCAAGCCGTGGGAAGGCCGTACTTTGTATCCAGCGGTCCTGCGCAAGATCGCGTGGAAGAAAGATTGGCAGTGGTGATCCCAGATGGATTCGCAACTGGAGGCGCCGCTGCGGAGGCTCCAGGGGTGTTTGATCCAGGTTGTCCTCCGGACCCGGAGCCGGATCCCGGTGATACTGTTGGCTGAGGAGACCAAGTGAAGGCCGACCCAGAACCTGAACCGCTTCCTGAGCCAGTGCGTTGGATCCCTGGCTCTCCTTTCCTTGGTGACCAATGACCCCATGTAGCCGACCCGGATGTGGCGATCTCGTCGGGGTGACGGGATTTGCCATTGGCTCTGACAACGTAGCCAGGAGGACCAAAGTCCAACTCGGACACCACGAAGTAGCATCTCTCACCCTTCGAATGGTCTCCGCAGCCTTTGATGAAAGCTAGCAGGATCAAGCCACCGTCGGTGGCCCAGGTATCCACGGCGTGTCTGTAAGCCTCTTCCGAAGCGAAAACAATTGTAAGAGCCCCGGCTGTGTAGTCCATCGACGCCACATGATCACAGTGGTCGAGGTTCACTGATGGGGCCGAGAACCAATACGTCATGAATGCAAAACCGCCAGGCTTTGATGGGTCTGGGTCTAGTAGTTAGTAACTGAAGTAACGGCTCTGAAAGTCTGCACTCGCCTCCAGCGCCGTAGTACATCTGAGAACCCTCATTGGCCGGGATGGGGATGACGTTCGAAGCCGGTGCGGTATCGCAAGACCAGTGAACATTGGGCGACAAGGTGGCAATCGGCCCATTCTCCGCGAAGGTGGCTGTCTGCTGGCCTGAAAGCCCGAACCGATTCGGTCCAGCATCTCCTGTGGGGCACGGAGGGGTCACTGGGGGCTCAGGTAGGACGCATTTGACGCAGGGGGACGTTGGATACGATGAGTTGGAGTACTCTTTGCCAACAGCGGGGAATCCGAAGGCACCCGCTGCCAGCAAGATAACAAGTGATGGCTTGAGAATCATGCTCGCTAATAATTTTCCGGGCACAATACTCAAGATAAAAAACGATGGGACTGGCCTAACGGCTAATACCGTCGAACTATTCCAAGCGCAACAAAACAAGAACTTCGCAAAGGAGTGTGGTAGACCTAAACATTAGGGTCAAAAAGAGTGACTAGAGTGAGCGAACTGGAGATTGAGCTATCATGGTCTTGCTTGGCAGGCGGCTAGGGTATTGTATTAAGCCATTCTGAAGAGGTCGACGTGAAGTAGGTTTAAGCATCTTTGCCGCGACTAGCCATTCTATCAATAACACCTTGAGCTGGGGCTGATATCATGCCATCTAACAGCCATGGCATTCCAATACAGGCAGGGAGCGCCGTCGATCATCTGGTCTGGTTCAGCCCAATGCCTGCATCAAATGCAGTGCAAGGGAGAATCGGCGATGGCTGTTGCATGTGAACGAGAGCAACCAAGGGTCGCCTAAGACAATTTTGTCTGGATATGAGAATGAGAAGATGTTTCGGACGTTCTCTTGCTTGCCGTAGGTCTTGTAGTCATATAAGCACCGGTTATTCAATGTCTCTGGAGTTGAACGTGGCTTGTGGAGTAAAGAATCTTGGGACGCATTGACCAGTAAAACTGCCCAAACCGATCCATTTCGAAATTGCGAGATGCCAACCACGCGGCTAGCTGAGACATGAGGGTATTGGAGGTAAGCTTGAAGCTGTTTAGGTTTTATCCCCTTTTCTGAAGGGTTCGACCAGACACACACACTGAAGGAATTCTCATAAAGATGAACCAGACAAATGAGGGTAGATGTTCTTGATGCCGGTCGGTCATGGAGGCAGATACTTAGTATTGCTTGGGTTTCCTGCAGAACAGGCTGTATCAGCGTCCTCGAACATTTCGCTCTGACTATACTGTAGGCCACAGTGGCGATTTAAGGTCCAAACGTGTGCATTACCAGAGTTAGGTTCCCAGCGAAGAAATAGTATGTTGACCCACGTATGTCTCAACCCTGGAATCCTTTACCCCTCTCAGTTTGACCCTCTAAAAGTTTCCTTTTTCAAGCGCTCTTTTGCATTGGATTTGGATTTTGGCTATACTGTTTCGATGCCGATGACCAATGGCCTTTGTTAAGGAGGCCGAGGTCCATGCCACGCTCGTGGCGATATCAGTATCGATCGGCTTGGCTGGCTTGGGCCGCCTAAATAGTACCTTCGGAAAGCTTACTTGACCTACGTTGAGCGCTGTCACTTACCATATCTGCTGGAAATCGGCATTATCGCGCATGTTCGTATGAAATCCATCCCCCCGCAGTTGCCCTCTTCCAGTCGCAACAATATAATACCTCAATACTTAGTAGTCAAGGCACCATCTCATCAGCGTTGGCTGGTAATCGGTTTCCCAAATCGCATCGAGGAGACCCGAAAGAGAGTGTCACAAGTATCGTTGTCAGAGCCCCCATGCCTGCATGCCTTTTCTTTCCTGGACGCTACAAGTGAGATGTGGAACCACCCGGCAGTAGCAGGGTCTATTTGCCCACGAGGTCATAAGCTTCAACAGTTCTACCAAAGTCTGGTCTTCTTCACTGTGATAATGATGAATGCAAGCCCAGCTCCTTGGATCTGATTTAGATTTAACTTCAATCGGCATGGCGCCTGTTCAAGCCTCAACTAACAAGATCCATCCTGCTGGAAATGTTTCTGTTGGGACTCCTGAGACCCCGTGAACTTGGATGAAGTATTGTGACCATCTATTTGATGGAGACTTCGTCACATACGGAAATGACATGCAGCACATTCCATTCATGTTGTTCGGCTGGAATGATTCGGAGTCCACATACCTTGTCAGCTGTTACCAGACTCATTCCTCCTCGCCGACCTCGCGCGACCGTACTCCATTCTTGTATGTTCTGTTCAGCATCTGTATGTAGCCTCTCCTGAGATTTCTTGCCTTTGAATTGTGTTTTAATTTATGATGGGGGGAAGAAGGTTCACAGAGAGGATACTGTTAAAGTTATTTGTTTCTGAACAATTACCGCCAGGTAAATTGTACTATCGGAGGTGGATATGATGAAGAGAACAGGCCCATTCACCCTCGATGACCCCCAACGGCTTCGCATTGATGAAATATAGGGCTAACTTCTTCGATGGGATTCTACTGTTCAGAGGTCGATGCTAGTCTTGTTTCTGACCTTCCACGGATCTAGAAATGAACTGGGCTTAAACAATGTGCCCAGTGGAGGGGGGCGAACACATGTCGTCGTATTATCTACTACTGTATGAGGAAGTCTGTTGGTGGCTCACTGTAGTTTACTCTGGCCATGGGGGTCAAGTATGCTGGGGGAGCTGGAAGCGCGCTACTGCCATATTCGCAGAAGTTTCACATCCTTCATGCTACCAGCTTCTTGTCCTGATTCAATTCAATCACTGGTGGAACTTTGTTTGACGCTCTCGTGCAAACAAGCTGCATTCCCCTATCCACTAGCTCATGGTATGAAGAAGGCGAGGTATCGACGAGAACCACGGCTCACTGAATCCGAGTGTTTTGGGTAAAAGAGCACGAATATGTAGGAGGACCTTCGTCGCCAACGTCCTGAAGTTTTGTATCTTTCGCGACAATCTCTCAACTCTTGATGTTTATACCAAGCTCTTTAACGAATGTTTTGGTACTCCACCCATTAATCTTTGAATACTTTTCAGTAGTAGTCGCTCCATTCAGCACCTCGTACGAAACCCCCCTGACACAATCCTCCTTGTTCTTGATGCAGCCTACAACAGCCTCGCCCGCGTTCATTCCCTCGTAATACGCGCCCTGCAGGAATCCAAAGTATTGTGGATGAGTGGCCTCGCCAGCGAACCACAGATTCCCGAGATTGGCACGGATGTTTTGATGCATCTCCAACGTCAGACCCGGCGGCCAATTTGAGTAGGATCCGTACGCCCAAGGCTCGCTAGTCCAATTGTGATGGTAAAAGTCAATAGGGTCAGGAATCTCCTGCTGGAACATGTCCCTCAGAACTTCCATGATCTGGCTCTTGGTCGTCTCAAAGTCTTGAGCCTCCACAACGTAGGATTGCTGATCGACCACGGTGACGAAGAGGATGCCGGAGCCGTCGACAAAGTCTTTGTGGTCTAGGGACTGGAAATAAGGATAGTAACCGCGCTGCACTGGATCGGCGTACAAGAAGAATTGAGTGTTCTTGTCCCAGAATACATCTTCTGGCTTGAACTGCATGAAGATTTTCGTGTAGGTACCCATCGTCATAGATTGGATGGCAGTGCGTTTCCAGCGCGGCAACTCTGGCGAGAAGTTGACCACCTCCTTTTGCAAGACGCCTAGCGAGAACGTGCAGATAGCGTAGTCGGCAGTGATGCAACTGCCGTCGTCGTTGTACACTGTGACGGATTCTGAAGAGTAGGTGATGTTCTTCACAATCGTCTTGAGTTTCAATTGGCTACTCTCGTCCAGGAACAATTTGGCTTCCTCCTTGAAAAAGGTGGCAAATCCCCGGTCATCGTGTACAAGGTTGTTTTCATCCGCCCAACGTTGGAAGGATGTGTTGGTGTTGACGACCGAGTACTGCTGAGACGTCTTCTCCGGAGGGTTGGCATATTCGAAATCAATCGAAGACCACTCGATCGCTTGGGCTAGCGGTTCGCTGCCCGGCTTCCAGCCGGCGATAGCGAGGCCGGCACGGGCACTGCGGTCTTGCTGATTCTGAAGAATTATTTCACCGGCGTCGTACTGATACTCTTCAGTGGCGTTATCGTACAGCGATTGAAGCTCTTTGAACCTTGCTGATAACCTGCCAGGGTGCACTTGACCGGTCTCATCAAAGACCGTTAGATTGGAGAAGTCGGAAGGTGTATTGGTTAGGTTGTACTTTTTGACCAAAGTCAGGATTGGATTTTCTTCTGTTGGATTTTCAGTGCCTTGGACCCTGTCCACATCATTAGTTGGATTCTCAAGACCACATAGCGCATCTTCATACCAGTTCGCGCCGAGTTCTACAAAGTAAGGCTCGTCACTATTTGGCTGTCTTCCAAAAGCGCGATTGTACACACGCCCGCCGATTCGGTCGTTGTACTCAACAATTGTGAAGTTCTTGATGCCTGCATCGTCTAACACCTTGGCGGCAGTGATTCCAGCGAGGCCAGCGCCGAGGATCGCCACTTGGACCCTGCTGCATTTTCCCTCAATGTCTGCATGGATCTCTTTTGTCGGTGCACCTTGGGCAGAGGTAGCGAGGAGGAAGAGGAAGCTGAGAGATCTTGTAGGCGTCCACATCTTGAAAATCGATATTGTCCTGTGCGATATCCGGAGTTAGTGTTGAAGAGCAACATAAGGGAGAATCTACACGAGCCACAGATATAAATATGGCAACCTACGAGATAGTTAAATAATCATCACTTCTTGGTCGTTTTCTGCTCTCGGAAAATATGCCAAGAAGCATGTCTTGGTGACTCTCAGGTCACTTCGAGACTAGTGGGTGTCTCCCTCCAAAAGGAGCGTTGCCAATTTTGACGCGCCGAGCCGTTGTTTCCGTTGCCGCCTTGACAATGGATGATGAGAGAAACAACCATTCTAACAAATCTCTTTACATCGGCATCCCAGGGCAGATGCGGCTGGCGTACAGCATGGAAGTGCGACACCCAAATTCATCAGGTCGCGTCTCAGCAAATGATAGGTGAGTTTCTCTACCACAGCCAAGCCGCCATGTTTCGGAAATGACGTTGTTTTCAGCAACGAGCGAACGTGTGTTCAAGATGGGACCAAAATAAACATATCGTCCACACAAACTAACGCCACAATATTGGAGAAGACACTAGGAATGCCCCGCGTAACAGGGACTGTTTTCGTCGAGGCTGCTCGATCCGAGACACCGCTCCGGATGGTCGCGTGAGATAAGGAGACCCGTTTAGTAGTCTAAGAAAATACCTGTCTGCTTTTGGCAATGGATCTCTTGTCAGCTGCTCAGGCCATGGATTGTGGAAGTCTCCTCTTCGACACATCCTCGTTCTTACTTCGAAGCAACGTGCAAGCGGGACTTAATATCCCGCCATGGAAGTGAGTTCCTAGCCTTGCCTACTTCAATAATTTCAAGTCTCGAATGCGTAGATTAAGTGCCCAATATAGCGAACAGCTGCGATGGATGGGTTGCTCATGGGATTCAAAGAAGAGCCATGGTGGCATTCTCTGCCTTCTGTGCATCCCAAGCCGGTGACAACTTTCCCTCATCTTCCTTTTGCAACATCCTAAACGCCTCCTGTATGACGTTGTGGTCGCAACTGCATCTCTCCAAGTCCACATCATTTTCTGCAATCATGAGTTAGTGTTGATAATTCTGAAACTTTTGAGAAAGTTGGTTCCGTACGTGGGATGTCTTCGCCAAAGTAGTGGACGTATTCTGCCGGGATCTTCCTCGGGTCCCATTTGTGTTGAGATGACATGAGCTGCACAGTAGCGGCTCGTTTGACTCGTAGGTCATTGAACATTTCCAATCGCGTCGGGATATCTTCCAAGGTTGTCAACCTCGACAGAAACACACCGAGAGCGGCGGCGTCCTCAATGGCCATGGATGCCCCTTGCGCACGTACTGCGAAGGTCGCGTGAGCTTAGTCGTCTTCGCAGCATGATTTCAAACCTGACTTACAGGGAGGCATCGGATGAGCTGCATCACCAATGACCGCGAGTCGACCTCGGGCAAATCTGTCAAGAGGCTTTCTCGTTAGTAGCCTCCATTCTCCTATACCACTGGCCTTGCTGCAAAGTTCGTTAGATGGACTGAAGAATCTTCAAAGACTAGCGGCAGAGTTCAGGGCTTACGATGCGAGAGACTGGATGAAAGCAGGATACTTTTTCAGGAAGCCTCCAGGATGAGCATCAGTCTTTGGCCCGTTGTTGACTAACATTTATGAGTCAGTGGCGGAAAGAGCAGAATGCTCAGCATATGAAATTGGCATACCTGCAGCGTCCTCAAGATGCTCTGCTGGATACATGAATGCAATGTTCTGCAGCGCGCCACTGCATTTCAATCAGTCAAATATTCTGTATTCCAGACACAGTGGGCGTTTTTTGACCTACTTTCTGCAGCCATACGTCACAAGGCTGCCGTCGTCAACTCTGAGGACTCTGATAGAGTTGTATCCGCCCTTGAAAAAGGCGTTGGTATCGGCATCGTTGGCCATCTGTTCCGTAGGCAGCAGCAACCGAGTCATTGTCATGAAGTGCTGAGACGGTATCTCTTCGCCCAACACCGTAGATATAAAGGAGGACTGTACGGGTAAGCTTCAAGTGCTGCAATGGGTCTTGGATACTTTGAACTCACACGGACGCCATCGGCTGCGACCACAAGATCCTTCTTGACTGTCGTCCCATCTGGGAAATGAATAGTTCCATCCAGATCGACACTTGAAACGGGTGTAGCGAGATGAAGGCGAGCAAACCCCTTACGTGAAGGAGTTGGCTCAGTTGCAAGCTTCCTGAGCTCATCATGGAGATCGACACGATGGAAGAAGTGCCAAGCAAATCCGTACTTGGACTTATAATCTAAGAGAGAAAGTATCGTCTTGTCTCCCAAGTTTTCGGCGTCATTGTTGTAGACCAGCTTTGAGGGCAGTCAGCGCCACGACGTGTTTGATAATCTAGCTGGAATTCACTTACACTTTCTGCCGGCGTAGCCTTGGCGCGACTGAAATCGAAACCGAAGTAATCAAGGATCCTTGAGGAATTGGGCGGTGCAGAGATAGCTGCTCCGACCTCTTTGCTGAATTGAGACTTCTCGAAAATCTGGCCTTGGGTGAGTAGGTGTTAGGCATTGGTTTCCAGCGGCATTCATGCCTACCTCAACTTCATGTCCTCCCTCTAGCAAGGTAATTGCTGCCATAAGGCCTCCAATGCCAGCACCCACAATTCCCACCCGCATAGTCTTGTGGTTATCTTTGGGTGTTAAGGTCCCTCGAGGGGGTAAACCAGGTTGATTGATGGGGGCCATTCTCGAGTTGGGCGTAGTCCTCGACGATATTCCTTGAAGGCGAAATCTCACTAGTCGAAAGTTGCCAGGAGAACCTTGCTTTTTAAAACCTTCACGACAATTCACTGAAACCTTGGCGTCTCTTTCATATAAAAGGTACGGGCAGCCTCGTTCGGGATGTGGAGAGGCCGGATGTGGAGAGCCGATGAGGATCCATAAGCCGGATACACCACAATGCCGCTGCATCACAGAGGACCACTTCGATTGAGTAACTGAGGGTACAATCAATACAAGCCCCTTCTCGTGGAGCTCAGAAGTTCCCTTTACTTATTGCAAGCTCTTCCACTTTCCTCCTTCATTTCCTCTTAATGATCCTTGTTTTCTGTAGATAGGTTTGACAGTGAGTCGCAAATACCCGCTGTACATGATGGCATATATTTGCCTTCCCAATTCTTTTCAATTACCTCCCTTATGCTTTCTCCGAAGTCCGCTGATTTGATAAACACTGGTACAGAGCGAACGCCGTAAACTGCCAGGCTGATGTTGCCAGCCAAAATATGTTGCTCCTGGCATCCGTCTTCGTCTATAATGCAAGTGGGGAATGTTGAACCGTCAAGGCTGTGGCATGATTGACCATGCCGCCAGAGAAGCAGGACGGCTTGGAACAAGGACGAGGCAAATACTCCGCAAAGCTTCCCTATCGGACAACTTCGCGCCGCTCGAATAACCCGACCCGCTCGCCAAAGCGCATGGCAATACTCAGGACTTCGATTTGGTTTTGGTGAGGGACCTTGGCACATTGGGTCGCTTTCGGCTCGAGAGAAGGCCAGGTGGCGTAGGACGGGAGTATCCCGCTGTGTGAGGGTGTGCATAATCAGGGCCTCAAAGAGAACTTCCATCTCAGCGGGGATTGGAACCTCGGTAAGCTGAAGCTGAGAAGCAAAAGCTTTCGTGGTGTAACATAGCTCGTTGCGTCTTGAGCCTAGTATCATGTGGCTCCAAGTGCTCGACTGCCCTAAGACAAAGCTGAGTTGATGGCACTCCATGCATAGGGCCCAAATCCCAGCCAGAAACGCGAAAATTGCAACATCCGAGTCGATATCTTTGAATCCCGCTGGACTAGACAGCGGCTGAGCCATAAGCTTTGTGAGGCAGATGCTTGAACGCGGCTCTGGCACACGCGCCCCGTGTAAAGCAACGATCTCGTCCTTCCATTGCATTGCCGACGACGCTTTCCATAACCGATTGGGAGCTGGTAATGGCATATCCATATCGACATATGTCGAAATCATCTGTGTTCCATGTGACATGGACACATGGGCGTCCAAAATGTAGGAAGCATAGACCAGTCGTCGCTGGGACTCGCGAACCGACCATTGACGCCACAATCCATCAAGGGTATCTCCATGGGCTTCCGTGATAGTCGACAGGTCCTGACAGTCTGTCTGTCTGGCTCCCTTCATGTGGCCCCCATTCTTGATCAGAACTTCAGCAGCTTTCGAACAAGCTTCCGCTAGTGCAATTTTGCGTCTCACACCGCTAAAGAAAGCAATTTGCTGCTGTAACAAGAAGCCTTGGGCTAAGCTGATGTCGCATACCGCGGCATTATTTCCTTCCCACTACAGTCATAATCATCTTGTTAGCCGTTGAAGATCGGGGATTGTGCCTAGAATTCTCACACTGTCGAAAGCTGACGCTCTCACAACTTCCTGCATTGCATATCCAAATTTTCGGGCCACTATCGATTCTGCTTGAATAGCGCCTATCGCTATCAAAGCTCCCAACAACTCCGGTGCCTGTTTGCAAAGGTCAAGGGTTGGCAAATGCACAAAGTCGTAGATGTGGGTGGCCTCCCAGTAATCTGAGTAGATGTCAAGAAGCGAGCTCAAGGCTTGGCACCCAGGAAAACATCCCAGTACCTCTGCTGACCTGGACTCCGATGTCGTCCTAAGAATCATGCCAACTACTTTGCTGCGTATAGCCGGTGACACACACAGCTTGTTTACCCGGGTTCCGGTCGCTTTTTTCGAGTGAGAGACTCCGAACGCCCCTTCACCCACTGCCAGATTTTGCCGCTCCATCTCGTTATGTTCGTCGCTCTTTGGCTCCCATATATCTGAAAGCGCAACATTCTTACTTTCAGAGACCAGAGAAACTAGACTGTCTTGGCAACTGTCCGAGACATCACCAGTTATCATATTGGCGTCGCCCAACTCGAATTGGGCCTGGATAAAAGAGTAGTCCAGCGTCCCAATGTCCCAGTCCGGTCCAAAGGAGAAGTAGTCTGCGCATGGCGCTGATAGCATGCCTGAGGGGTAATCGGATGCTGTGAATGGATCAGTTGAAATGACCTGGTCACCAGATGAGGATGAATCCGGGTCATTGAATCGCGGGCTGGTCGACAATTCTTCGGTGAGATCTATACCTGGCGTAGATGAAGCCATGAAATCTTGAACGGCTTCACCGTGAACCACATGCATGCTGGCACTCTGCTCAGCCTCTGGTGCAGGCTTTGCAAGTTCGACGTCTGAGGCGGCGTTTTCCCCTCGCTGTCTTCTCTGCAAATCGCAGGGTTCTTCTCTCTCTTGATGAGCTGGCTCATAATCACAAACCAGACCTTTCGCAAGACACCGGTGACATGGCTTCTCCTCTGAGCATTTGGACTTGGTCGATGAGCATGACTTGCATGCTTTTCCAACTCGTTCGGTCCCAGCACGTTGAGAATAGTCGGCAACCAAGCCATCCTCCCCAGGATGTGCAACTTGATGCCTCCTTAGAATGTCCAAGCGCCCGAAGGCCTTCCCGCACAGGTTGCACACATAGGGGCGCTGCTTCGTGTGGGACCTAACATGACGAACGAGATGCTCGGAGCGGTGATATCGACGGGAACACTGGGAGCATTGAAATAGGCCATCTCGATCCGTCCCCCGACCAGATTGTTGTTTAGGCATCTGATATAGATGGTGAAAGCGTATCAACGTTCACAACAAAACATTTAAGAACGAGCTGTAGGTTGAAAGTCAATTTCTGAGGAGCTAGTTTGAGCCAGCGGTGATGGAAAGATTCGAAAGTCAAGAGGAGGGCTCCCCCTGCCTATCGAGTTTCCCAGCCCATACCCACAGGTGTGGGTTCGCGCCTGGACGCCGCTCAGCTACGAACGACTTCCAGGCGGAAACCTCAGTTTTCAGTCTCATGCAAGGTTCTTGATTCGATCATCACCGGATGATCAACAACGCTAGCGGACGGGGCCGTCTGTTCCAATAGTGTACCATGCATATCACGGCTTTGCGGGACGAAGGGCTCATCGTCTCCACCCACACTGCCACCATGATTCTCGGAAAGCTGCCGCCTCGGACATCGGTGGACATCATGCTCCGTTCGCCGACTCCGTCCTCCGATCTGGTCTATTTGAAATTAAATGTCGGTCTTTGTTTTACCGAGAAGCAGCGTCTTTCACATTTGTCCTTTTGGGAATGAAGCCATGTGTACACAATACTCAGATCAATCGATCTTTACTATCTGGCTTTGAACATATGCCGTCGGTATGATCGGCATCAATGCTTGGCCATTCAATCGTTCCCCTTTAGCCCAGTCTCTAGGACATTGGGTGCCACAACTATCTGCCTGAGCCTAATACCGACTGCTCTTGTGGCGCTCTTCTCACTCTCATCAATTGTAGCACTTTATGCGAGCAGGCGAGAAGCGAAAGGGGGCACTACTTTGTCAGGTGAGAACAAAATCGGACGAAGCGCAAATGGAGACAATAGGCAGAACGAATGAACAAGTCAGACGCCTAGATCTTTCGTTGAATGTTTCCGAGTTTATAAGGCTTAGGAATTTGCAAAGTCGAATGTTTGTGGAAACTGTAAAAGGCTGACGACAGCAAGGGAGTTGCATGATAGGAGCTACCTCGGGTAAAGTACGAACGGTTGGCATTTATTTTCAGTTGAGTTGTCAAGTTCATCTGCCATCGGCCCTGTCTGAAAAAACGGTTCGAAAGGGAAATATCCAAAGCAGATGGTACAAAGAATATGTCAGCTTCAATTGAAAGAAAGGGTAGTTTATAGACTTCCCATTTCATCGCATCTGTTTCAAGCTTTCATCATCCGCGTAAAGCCAGCACCGTTGTGCGCTTTTAGAGGGGACTGATATGTACACAATTTGGTAGCTGGAATATTGCTCGGGTCCTATTCGTCCCTCGAAAAGACTGCATCGTTGCAGAGGCTTGCCTATACATATTTCAATGCCCACGGACAAAGGCACCCGTACGGGTTATGTTTCCAGATATTGTCTTCCAGAAGCATTCGCCACTGCGGCAACGGTGGCTCAGGTCCCCAAGACTGCGGTGTGTGATTAAACCACTCGCGCTCCCATTTATATTTGTTCCATTCTGCGTGCTTCCGAATGATAGACTCCACATTCCAAGGTGCACCCACGTCGAAGTTACAATGCACAATAGATGTTCCTCCCGCAATATCGGTCAATGATTGCGGAAACTGTTCGAAGATATAACCCCAGTAGCCCGGTCGATCTGCGGGTACCCTAGATCGTGAGGCCCTGTCAATTTGATTGAAGTCGAACCACCCGTGTCTCAACACGCTTTCGCCCTTTCTCTCAAACCATGTAATCTGGCCGAGTATACCTCTCTGAATAGTTTCTATCCAAGCTTGCTGCCAGGCAGCATCTCGCTGGACGATTGACTTAAAAATGCGTGAGCATAAGTCTGGACACGGATCGCCGTCGAGAAGGAGTGAGAAAGATCCAGGTGGCATGCCCTCTTGATCGAGCGCAAGAGCCTCTGTGATCCAAGTGGCTACGTTCGCCGTTATCTGGTCTGAATTCATCACACAAGGAGTCCGTCGCGTTGCAACTTGGTTGCGCCAACAGCGCTCATCTGGGTGCTTATAGAACATGTCCTCCTGGAAGACCACGTTCCAGAGACTGACGCGACGCTCAACCTGGATCGGATATTGTTGGCAAAACGGAATCAGGCCTCTGGCGTGCTCTTGTGGGTAAAGAACGGCTTCGTAATCTTCGTTGAGGATGATCTTGCGGAGATGTTTACGAAGAGAGTGCGGTATTGACTGTAGGAAATATACGGCCGCCGCAGCTGCAGAGAAACGATATATGGATCGGTCGTCTCTAGTCCTGGGGCAAGAGAATTCGATGGGTACCGCTGCCTCCAATGCGTCCATCTGGCTGTCGGACGGGATGGTCCAAGGGTTGATATGACTTTTAATAACCTCGAAAGGCGACCATTTGTCGATATGGTCTGTTGAAAACATTGGGGGAGTAAAGTCGGCAACCAGATTTCTGAAACTGTCGTCCTGTGTCCAGGCTGATTCTAAGACATCTTTGATAAAGCCACGATAGACCGACGGAGCCTCGCCGTAGGGCCCGTGACGCTCCAAACATAGACCAGCTCCTTGCACAGGAGCCCGGGGCCCTTCAGCTTTCATGCGATCCAATAATGGCATGAACTGCGGATAACTCTTCTGGACTTCTGCGTAGACACGATCGGGTATGAGATGTCCGTAGTTTTGAAACATCTCGCATCTTACGAAGTCCACGCCGCGGCTCTTGAGCTGTTGGAATTGGCATGCCAAATGGCTGAACTCGACCGAATCCAGGGTCGAAAACGTAATTGAGTTCAGTTTCAGGGCAAGTCCGCCGCGGTCCATCTCGTTGGCTATCTGTTTGCAAGTGTACACAAGAGATAGATCGACTTCTTTCTAGTTGGCACCCTTCAGCTTTCCACGGGTAAACTCATCGGTGTCGCAAATGTACCCTCCGTCGACGATGACGTAAAAGCTGTAGATAGTGTCTCGAAGCTCTCGGGGAAGCCTGAGGAGTGGGAAAGGCAGCATGTCGAATGAACGAGAGTCGCAAGCATACCAATTGTGTTGCTTAAGACTATCCTGGAAGAATGGAAGTCGTCAAAATATTAGGAGGGTCAAGGGAAGCGCAGAATTCACCGGAGCAAGGCACGATCGGAACAACCTTCGGGTACCTTGTCAGCCCGTCCCATAGCTGTCAAACTTTGTTACTGACGTGTCATCACCTCGGTGTAGGCAGCAAAGAGCCACATAACCGAAGAGGTTCTGGCACAAGACAGCAACTTGATTCCGGTGATCACATCTACCCCAGAGCCGGTGAGATTTTGCATCATGCGTTATTCTATCCCGAGGACCACCAAGACCCAGGGTCCCCATGGGCCATGGATACTGGATGCGGACAGCCATTCGAGCGTTTGCAGTATTAAATCCAATCTTCAAGCGGGTATTTTTTTTTTTTTTCAATTACGGTGGCGCTTTTTGGGTTAGGATGATCCCGACCTTGAAAGACCAGCCTTCCTTCCTTCCTTCCACATAATTGCTTCTTCCTTAGGTCCGGTCAGTGGGTTCTCTATCCACCATTTGAACTTGACACGACCGGCTGGTACGAGGAGAGTCAGACTGGTTCCTTCGAAGCTATTATGACAGCGAAGATCTTTCCCTTTCTAAATCCTTTCTGGACTGAAAAAAGATTTGAACCATGGAGGATTCTGACTCTGCGCCCAGAGTTTTCGTATGGATAAGCTGGTGTTCAATCCCACTTTTGTCAACGCCCTTCAATAACCCCTGTCATATTTACACTCCGTTGCGTTGACAGCGTCCGCCCCCGACTTTAACCCAGAAGGAAAATTTTCCGCTAGCCTAAAAACCCCCTAAACTTCACACCTTAATAACTCTATACGTACGTAATACGTGAGAATAAAAAATATATTAATTAATAGCCCTTAATTAGGTGATTATAATAATATCTTTTTTATTCATAAGTACTATATACATATAGAGCTATTAAAGTGTAAAGTTTAAGGGGCTTTTAAGCTAGTAGATATTAAATATAACGCTAAAAAGAAAAAATGAAACCCCTAGTACGTTATATTAAACTATCTGCTTAAAAACCCCTTAAAATTAGCTTTAACTTCACACTTAGCTAACTCTATATATACGTAATACGCGAGAATAAGAAAGATATCGTTATAATCACTTAATCGAAGGCTATCGATTAATATATTTTTTATTTATATATATTATATACGTATAGAGGTATTAAGGTGTGAAGTTTAGGGCGATTTAGTGGTTTTTCGGTAAAAAGCCCCTTTTTTTGCCTTTTTCAGGCTAAAAACTGCAGGGTGGACGCTATCAACGCAACGGAGTGTAGGGCATCCGTGCGTACCCATTCCAACCATGTCGGGCGATCAGTGCTAGCTATTAACACTCATCGACTATGACCGCATGGGGTCGTGGCGCAGAGATGTTGTAATGTTGAAAACATTCTTTCGTTGTCTGGGTGAAGGATGAAGTCTGAATGTGTTCCGTCAACGAGATAATAATGCGACTTAATCGCATTTTATTAGATGGCCTGTTTTTGTGTAAAAGTCTCCGAACCTACGCATGTTGATACGAACCCCAAGAGCCTAGTTGATGGATCATTTCGACCAACAATTTTTGCTATACCCAGAATCTTGTAGCACTTACTATAGCTACTGTAATTAGTAAGGAAACCCTACTCAAACTTCCTGTGTCATCGCTTACGCAACTGCATTGTGGAGAGAACTACATTAACAAGTCATGTCTTCACACCTTGAGCACGGCGTCGAGATAGAGGTTGGAATTCGAGGAATGATTTCTCGGCAAATTCGACGGAGTCATCCCCCGGATTGCCTTCATCTGCCGGGCCTGCAAGGATAACGTTCTCTCCAATTGGTATTGAACGATCATGCCACAAGCTCAATCCGGTCTCAACAGCTTTTTAGCGCTACTGGCCTACGCAGCTAATGCAATAATGGCAGGGACGGTATCCAACGGCTACCGGACTTGGCCTTCAGGAGCCCTCTGACATTCGTTACTACTTGTGGATCTGAGACATAAAAGATCCTAGTGAAGGCCGAGCTCTAGCGGCATCTCGCCCCTTGCCTCTGTCTTGCCCCGCTTCTCCTCTCAGCTGAGAAACTACTGGTGGGAGGTTCTTTCGCAAAAGTGATCTGCTAAGTTGCGTTGAGAGGTTCCGTCTATGATCTTCAGTCTGTTCGCGTTGCGATCGTGGGGAATACCGATGTGCTGGTCATCCGGCTACTGTGCCTTATTCCGGTCAATGCATGGATATTGGAAAGGCGAGGCAGAATTCGGTGCCAACCCCTGCGCTATGATATGGAATTCGATAAATATTGATTTTAATTCAGTAGCTACAGGTGTAAAAGAAAACAGACGTCGATTTGATATGTGATCTACATCTCAAGGGGTTTCTCTGGTATGGTCGTTCTGAGAACGCCAGTGCTTGGAATGGAGTCAAGTGAGTGAAATAGGAAACAACACTCCTGTCGTAATAGTGCTTGAATGCTGCCTCGCACCGGCTTACTAGATGGGTACGGGCGATGGATACCCTCCGCAAATCTTCTGTCACAATGAGCTACAGTCGATGAGAAGACGCATGCGTCCGTTGATGGAGACGACGATCATGTTCATTCCAAGACATCTCTAGGTGTTGGACCTCCTCGATGGACCTCCTCGCTGGACCTCCTCGCTGGACCTCCTCGCTGGAATGTCGCTCGAGCATTATCACATCGAGATGATGCCTCAATAGTGTCACTTTTATCTATTTCGAAATCTATAAAATCTGGCTGTTGCTCCTTCCAGAACCAGATTCTCTTCCTCCTCATCACACAACAATCTCATTCAATCATCTTACACATTTCTTACAATCACCCAGATCCTTCTTGATCCTTCTAATTCACCTTCTTTTCAGAAACACCTTCCCAGAACAATTCTATCTTTCAAAATGCGTTTCTCCGCTGCCACCGTCTCTGCCCTTGCCATGGCTCTCACCGTCGCCGCCGCTCCCGGCAACACTGCCAAGGAGGCCCTCGCCAAGAGAACCGACGATCTCACCGTCGCTGATGCTCAGAACATCTGCGGCAAGGACCTCAGCGTCAACTGCTGCAACCAGGTCGATGCCAGCACCAACAACAACGACAACTCTGGATCTGGAATCCTGTCCGGTATCCTGGGCGGTGTCCTTGGCAACGGTGGCCTGAAGCTCACTGATGGATGCTCCTCCATCGGAGTTGGCAGTGAGCTCTTTGCTAATCCTGTTACTTGATACATACTGACATCTGCCAGTTGCCAACGACCTCCTGAACAGTCAGTGCAAGCAGAGCGTCGCCTGCTGCAAGACCGACGGCAACACTGTGAGTAGTCACTGCGATATATATGAGAAGCACCATCTGACAAATATGTCAAAGGCTTCCGGCCTCGTTGCTGTCCAGCTCCCCTGCATCCCCATCTCTGGTCTTTTGTAAGATACCAACCGGATACATGCAGATCGCAGCATTCGAAAGAGTGCCAGTCTGGTTGCAGACATGTTTAGGCAGAAGGAAGTGTGGGCGAGGATCTCGGGTGTGATGTAAACTTCAATTCGCGGCTGAAGTCTAGCTTTGCTTGGCTTTTCAATATACTTATGCTTTACCCAAGTCTTTCGTTGCAAGACCTCGGCGTAGAATTCGTATTGATGCAAAGCAAATAACGCAGCCCAGTCGTCTTGCATATGAATAACACTGCCAACCTGGTGACGCTATCCGCTTCCGATTTCATGTGATCCATGTTTCTTTGCCTGGAAGTTTGCAGCTAGAAAATACAAGAAAGTTGATGATGCGGTATCGGGATTGTAAAAATCAAAGACTTGATGGTGTGAATCCGTGGTAATCTAAACCTAGATGCTGCCACGCGGCCGATGCATACGAGCAATGCAAGCCTTTTGATTACCTATCTGCCGCGGTGTTTTCCACATCCTCGCCGACAAATCATTGCGACAGCCTCGCAACAAGCAACAGAACTTCTTCGCAGGGCATATGCACTGCGTTGGGCTGCTTCAGGAAATACGACCGCCTGCGATTGTCGCAAATCAAATTGATATCAATTATGGTTGCCAAGCTGTCCCGTCGGCCGAGTTGACGTGCCGAAAACTCTATGCAAAGCATGGGTGCCGTCACTTCATAGGATAGATACCTTCATCGTGCATATTTCTATCCATGGATCCGGGACCGTGCGATTGATGTTTGGCAAGCGATAAGCACGTGCTGCGTACAAGACCGTATTCTTTATTTAACTCTATTGCATCCAATCGCATCTCTACGCATCCCCAGTTCCGGGATCTTACTTTGTACGGTTTCTGTAGTGAAAGTAGAGAGTTTGGCGTACTCGCCTACAAAATACCTCTACCGCAAAGTATCGCAGACAACCATAAATACCCAGTGGCTTCGATGCATTTTTTTTGATCACGAATACAAACCTTCACGTCGGGAGGCTCGGGTGGGTCACCTGCTGATGCTGTAGGATATTTTTTGTCGTGAAGACGGAGCGCACATAACCATATTTCCGGTCCGTTCCCCGAAACGAATCGGAGTGGTATAATGACCAGCCCTATAAGAAATTTCTTCATCTCGTATTTAGCACGCTAAACGATTCCAGTTTGGGCATCTTAAAGATCCCCAGCAGTCGTTTGTAAATGAATTTCTGCGAGCCAATTTCAACATGGCGACTTCCACAACTCCGCCCGAGTGGCCTTTTTCCTACCTTGCAGTGGTTGTGCTCGTGCTGGTTACATACTGGATCCTGGCTACATTCCGTCGAGTCAAGAGCAGATTTGACTTTATGAAGAACGGCATGTCAACGCTCAAAAAGGAGGTAGAAAGACATCCAAGCCAGCCCTTTCGAATGCCTACGGACCTAGGCGAAGTGACGGTTCTTCCCCCTGACTATGCCGCGTATCTACGTAACCTGACAGATCTAGACTTCCGAGAAGCCATCACAAAGGTAAGCCCTCTGTCACGGGGGAGGATTAGCAGCTAACTGGAGGAGGAATTCCATCGTCATCTGCCAGGCTTTGCTGCCTTTGGAATTGTGAAGCATCCAGCACACATTCTCCAATCTGTGGCACGGAAGCAGTTGACACAATACACGAGTACGTCAGGCTTATTCAGCCTCCAGCCTAGGCCCTCTGAAGAGAATCTCCAAGAAACTAATGACAACCGTATAGACACAATTATCGAACCCCTATCCTCAGAGGCCTCTTTCACAACCGAATTTATTTTCGGCAGTCGCCCTGGTAGGATACAGCCCCCCTTACAACATGAGGCCCGTCATCTGATGACTTTTCAGGATGGAGAGAGATACCAGCTAAGGACGCGTTATTGGAGCTCGTTGCTCGCCTATCTTCGCGAGTGTTCCTTGGGTCCGACATTTGCCGCAACGAGAAATGGCTTAGGATTACCAGAGAGTTCACAACGACCAGCTTTGCCGCTGCAGCCAAGCTTAACATGCTGCCATGGGTTCTAAGACCGCTAGCCAACTTACTCGATCCATCTTGTCAACAGGTACGGGCCTTCATCGCAGAGGCGGAGGGGATACTACTTCCCGTTATCGAAAGCCGTCGCAAGGTCAAAGAGGCGGCCAAATTAGCTGGCAAGCCAGTACCTGTATTCAACGATACCATCGAGTGGGCTGAGGCCGAGTCGCAGGGAACGCAGTACGATCCGGTCGCGTTTCAGTTGATGATTTCGTTCGTCGCGATACACACGACGTACGACCTGCTGGGTCGAGTTCTGTTGCTTTTGGCGGAGCATCAGGAGATTATCAAGCCTCTGCGCCAGGAGATGGTCGAGGTCTTGCAAGCTGAAGGCTGGTCCAAGACAGCACTAAACCACATGAAGCTATTGGACAGCACCATCAAAGAATCTCAGAGAATCTCGCCAACCTCTTTGTGTAAGTTGGTCCATGGGAAGCCATACAGCATTCGTGTTTAACCAAGTTTATTAGTAACACTACGTCGAGTCGCGGTCAAAGACGTCACACTCCCCGACGGCACCAGAATTCGAAGAGGCGATCGCCTTTGTACCCACTGCTGCAATATGATGGAACCCCAGGTCTACCCTGATCCCGACAGGTTCGATATATCTCGCTTCAAGCGACTTCGAGAACAGTCCGGGGGCGAGAGCAAAGCCCAGCTCATCACCCTAACTCCGGAGCATCTCGGCTTCGGCTACGGAGTGTATTCTTGTCCGGGGCGCTTCTTCGCCGGACACGAAATCAAGATAGCCTTATGCCACTTGCTTCTGAAGTACGATTGGAAATTGGGGAATGAACGCGGGTTCAAGCCAACCATCATTGGCGTCAACTCGTTTATTGATCCTAGCATGTTGATCGTGTTCAAGCGACGCAAGGAGGAGATTGACTTGGACGCCTTGCGCTTTGATGAAGGTGTTTCGTTCGATAATGATTGAATTGAGTCTCTCAACTGGTCGCTATCTAGAACCAAATAAGAAGTACCTTTGTACGATATTGCCCAACGCTGTTTCCGTCGAACGCATGTTTTATGGTTTCTAGCTGCAGTTTTCCAACAATATGCTTTGCGTGCGGCGTCTTTCGCTTCTTTTCCTCTTTGCGTCCTACCATCTATCATGTGTAGGTGCTCGTCTCAGTCACATGACGAGCTGCGACTGCTCTCGGCGCTGGGTTCTGGCATCCGTAACACCCTCCCTCGTTTTTTATCAACTGTCATCTTGATGATGTCAAGGATTCGTTCTCGCTTGCTGTTCTCGACGTTCTTGCTGTTCTCGACGCTCTTGCTGTTCTCGACGTTCTTGCTGTTCTTGATGTTCTTGCTGAATACTGCCCACGGCGTCAGAAAATTGTATCCATCAATCGGAGTCGACATCAAATGTAGCATCTCTCGCATGCCGTCCGTGGATCGAAGCCACATGTGGTCCTCAGGGCTCAGATTGAGTTTGGGCTCGTCCTGGATGAGTGATATCCTCAAAAAGTGGAGGAAAGAAGCTGCGATACCCGCTGCAATCCCTGCCGTATACGTGTTACCATTAACGAGTTTCTTTCCTGTCTCTTTATTAGTCCAAGGGGCTTTCAACCCCGCGCCGACCACAGAGAAGTTGTAGTCGCCAGCTTTCGGGGACGGAGCAAGACCGCAATGTCTCCCCTGGCCATCAACCGCATGTATTGCAATGACGTGGGGACTGGTGGCCGGGTATCCTCTGACTGAGTTGAACCCGTTAGTTGTAGCAGCAGCAATTACGATCGTTTGCTTGTTCATTTTCCGAGTCTCGGCCAGGGGCTTCATCATCATACGATTGACCGACGCGAACCCAAAGGGCAGGACGATGATGTCAACATTCCAGGACTCAATTGCGTACTCAATGGCCTGCCTGGTCAGCATTTGTCAAAGGGCAGATGATACTGACTGACCTCAACAATTTGGTCCGCGTCTCGTGGATGGACTCGGCGCTCGTTGGTGACTTGGGCGACATAGATTTTCGCCTTCGGGCCATATTGGTGAATGAGAGATATCAATGTTGCCTCCCAACGTAAACCCTTTCCCGAAGGACTCTCATTCGTGAAGTTCTGCTTGTCGAAGATGTATTGGTCCAGACCTGAACCATGCGTCCGCAGCTTTTCGCTATCAACGCCTTGCCCGAGAAGAGCAATCTTGATGGCGTCTTTGTCATCGAGTTCTTTCCCGTCTTCGAATTTATTCGGAGATACGTAATCGAGGAAGCTTTTACAGGCCTTTTCGTATTGTTCAGCAGGTCCCTCCATCCTTTGTCGCGTTAGCCATTGCAAAGCCAGACTCTTCTATAAGCCTACATTTCATCGTTGACCCAGTTCCTTCCTCCCCCGATATAGCCCATTTCTTTGCCCTCGCTATGAGCGTGAAATTCTCTGACTACCAAGTCGTGACCGTTATGAATTGCTCTTTGGAGCGGCGTTCCGTGAGCACTGGCACCCTTCTCGGGCCTCGCGCCTTGTTCGAGCAATGCCATTACAACGAGTTCGTGCCCATTATTCGCCGCATGCCAGAGCGGGGTTCTCCCACACGGATCCGTGACATTTGGATTTACCTCTCCAAACTCGAGCAGTACCCTGACGACTTGCTCGTGGCCATTCTCGGAAGCCTGGCACAGTGGTGTCGTTCCTGATGCATCTGCGACGTTGGGGTCTGCTCCATGCTGCAGCAAGAGCCTGACGATGCCGTCGCGACCCTTCGATGCTGCTTGAAGAAGAGGGCCAGCCAGGGAAGGGAGGTTATATCCATGGCGGTCGGTGATCTGGCCAAGTGCCTCGATTACCATCCCTTCATGGCCGATCCCAGCAGCGAACCACAACGGCGTGCGCTGGGCATCAAATTCTCGGCGCACTATTGGAGGCAGAACGCAAAGCAGGGCATCATCGCGAGACGCCAAGCCACTTTTCTCGATCGCCTCCACCAACTCTGATGCCAGGCGGCTCCTCAAGCAAACGTTGTCTGCAGTGCCGTCCACCTCAACTTCCCCGATGCTCTTTACCAGGTCCAGGATGCTTTTCACAAAAGTGCCCAGGATCTCCTGGGCGCAAAGTGAGAGCAGGTCCGAAGTCGTAGGTAGGGTAAAGACGTCGATTTCGGACTGCTCCGAAGAGGATGATAGGTGCAGCGGTTCTCCGCTGAACCATCCAAACAGTTGATTCAATGGACCTTTGGAAATTTCGCTATTTCCCGTTGGCGTCGGCGTTGCGTTTCTGAGTTTACCTTCCTCGTTGAGCCACAATGTAGAGGGGCCAAACTCTGTATTCAGCCCTTTCAAAGTGTGCTTCATGGGGCGTCCAGCAGCACTTCTGAACCATTTGTAGTAGCCCACTTCTTCCGGGTGTTTGACACTCGACACTATCCTTCTTCGCGTTACTTTCAGCTGAGAGTGGCTCCTTGCTGATTCTGAAATCAGAGACCACGTCCAGAGTCCTAGCATGGCCTCCATGATTTCTTTGCCTTCGAGCCTCCAATGGGAATCTTGGCCACCGCGGTGAAGGTGAAGCAAGACCTTGGCAATCTGATTTCCAGCACGAGGAGAGACGCCGCAGTTCATGGCGCAATACAAGTCGTTGTGTTTCGAACGCCATTCCTCCATGATGATCGCCGTCGACGACGAACAGACGCTGTTGGCAACTGACTCAATCGCCAGGACAAGCTGTCTTGCCGTTTCTCGCACGGCAACCATTTCGTTGGAGAAGTGACGCGTCAAAACAGCCAGATCGAGTTTCGCAGTCGTTGGTTCCGTGAGTCGGGTCAGGGTTCGACGGTAGGCCAGAATCCTGTTGGCGCAGTCCGCCCTGCCTTGGGGTTCTGCTGATTCAGAAGGCTTGTGTCCAATTCCACCAGAATTTGTTTCCGATGGTTGGTATGTGATTCTCTCACCGGCTGTCGTAGCACCGAAAAACAACCACGAGTAGGACCGTCGTTTGCTGTTTGTTTCACCCGGTCGCGAGGCTTTCTCAATGTCCTTCTCACGAGGCCATGGAATATCCAAGCCACAGAGCCGCCACGTTCGCCCGCCCTTTTCAATGCTTGAAGCTCTACAGTCCATCCCCTCTCTGGCCTCCTCCTGACCTATGTGCAGGGCCAGCCAGTCTAGCTCATGGCCCTTGAGCGTATCTGATGAGATCATCATCGCACTGATTTCTTGCTCTGAAAGTCGATTGCCCTGCGAGTCCAGTCTCTGCGTGCGAAGACCAGCCCTCAGCATGCTCATGATCAGGGCTGCCCCGAGCTGGGCCAACGAAATCGACGAGTGTGTCCCGCGGAGGCCGACAAATTGTAGAACAAATCCAGAAACGCTAGACCCGACGACGAGCCATACAGAAAGCTCTGAAGGGGCGCTCTGCTTCTTCCGTGAGGTAATGTGTCGATTGAGGGAGCCGACACCCCCCACATCCGCGTAGCAGAATGGTTCAAATGTCTGATCACCGTGCACTTGAGCCGGTTGCAACCAGTACAGAGAGGACCTCTCTGATAGATTCCGTTCGCGTTGGTAAATCTCTTCTTCGGTGCTCTCTCCCACCAGGACAGCGCAGAAGAACACTCCTCCGCAAACCAGAACGGTTCCCACAATGACCATCGGACAAGCATACGATGGTGGCTGCTCTCCGTCCTTTTCCAACCGAAGGTAGTAGGTTGCCGTGGCTGCATAGATCAACACACCTACTTGCAACACAAACCCGATCACTCCCACGAGTCTGAACCACCAATCATCCAAGCGCTTGATGCTGACATTGTGGGAAAGATTCGGCCCATACTCTTCAGTCATCTTTGGCCCATCACCCTTTGACGGCTCTGTGCTCTCGTGATGAGGCCATGGCCTCCACTCTTGACGGTGATTTTCATTCCTCACGTAGTCAGCGAAGGTGTAGATGCCCGCCGACCCCCCCTCCCTGGTAAATTCTTCGTCATCCACTTTCCGATCGAGCACAACCTCGAGGATCTTTGGACGACCGATAATGCGCTCGATGCCACCGCCATTGTACAGTTCGCACACGTTCCTGCTCGTGGACGAGAGCAGCTCGGCCTCCACGTTGCCCGCTGCTTCTTTTGCTCTGCCGATGAAGGCTTTGAGGGAAGGGCTGCCGCAGACGCGGATCGCGGACACCAGCGCGGTGAGGATGCCGATGGGCGCCATGGCGAAAATGAAGTAGTCCAGCCACGTGATGCTCTCGCTGAGGTATTGCTTCGTCGCCTGCTCTCCGAAAAGGGATATGATGGGAGCGAGGTCCGAGGCAAGATTGTTGGTGAAGTCGTCCCAGCCGTCCGCCGCGACACCGCCCGAGAGGCATAGTGCGATGAGGCTGCAATATGGGCTGAGAAACATCTCTGGCTTGGCTCCCTTGGTTTTACCAACTCTTGTTTGGTGGTGTTATTTGATTCAGTGAAACGTGAAGAAGACTGGAAATATTACAGCAGCGACGTGGCGAGTCCCCGCTGCGGAGAGGATTCTCGTGTCATCACAGCGTGACAGCTGAATCAAGGAGCTGACTTGCATGGTAATGATTGGATCGACATTAAATTGATAGTCTCAAGCTCTTGCCGTTGGCGTTTGTCGGCATTAGTCTCAACTGAATCAGCCAATCAGGGTCAGCAGGCAGATCACGCAGAAACATCACTATCCATGAATGCTTGCAGTGTTGATTTCAGCAGTAAGGCAAAACTGGACTTAATACTGTCTCTATAAGGAGCTGACGTGAGACCTTGAGAGCACTTGGGGAAGTATGACTGCAAAGCTTGAGGGAGGAGTTGACAGTCGCAGAGGTGATCTGATCGCGTCAATGGCAGGGCCGACCTCAAAAAGCCAAAAAGAGAACGCGCAATCGCGGACGGGAATTGAGCCCGACGTGGGGGTCGAACCCACAACCTTGAGATTAAGAGTCTCACGCTCTACCGATTGAGCTAGCCGGGCAGATCTGGTGATCTGCCATTTGTTGTTGCACTCAGCCGAGGTTGAGTCATTTAAGTAGCATGAGCGGGCAACGATGCGAAGAGATTTCCATGTGAGTGGGGCCGCTATGGATCCCGGCCGCATCGGCAGACGGCCGGTGCAGGGGGTCCGGGCATCGGATAGGATTATGCCGACGTTGGCCTTATTCACAAGCGGCCAGCAACGCTCCATTGCACATCTTTCGAACGATGAGAACTTACGATTGTGCGATCTGTGAAGTTTTCTGTCTGATATTTGGAACGTCCACAGTAGGTTTCTCTAAGACAGTGTTGATAACCTGACTTGCGATGTGTTTGAACGCGGTGCTGGCTTCTAAACCTTTCTCTGACTTGGTCTGGGCGTCTATAATCGACAGGCAGAACATCGCATCTGGATTCTACTGTTAGGCTTCTCAGTTGTACGCACGACTTTCGAGAAAATTACCAGATCTCGCTAGCGGTTGTCCGAACGCATCGTGGTGCAGTCATATGGTCCTCAAGACCGTCAAGCTCGGGGTTCCATGAGCAGTCAGATGAATATGTTCATTGAGGCGTATATTTTAATACTTTATGGTAAGGAGTGTGACTAGTTTCCCAAAGATTCGCCCTAAACTATCGTTGCATTGGATGATGCCTCGGGCCTGCATGATGTAAGTGCGAGGTCCTCGCATGCGATCTCATCAGTCCCCTGCACGTCATCCGTCAAATTGTCAACCTCAACCCCAGAACCCAATAGCCTGGCGTCCCAAAGACTGCTGTCCCACGGTATTCGCATGACATCCGTCCGCAACTTCTCCATTGTGCAGGCGGAACGTCCCTCCGTATGTGGCATTCAGCGACGCATCCTCACTAGCCCTCTTGGCAAGATTATCAGTCAACTCCGGGCCTCCCTGTCCCGCAAGGAAGCACGTCTGCCCAGCGTCGTACATCGGTTGGCCCGTGATGAAGATCTCCGCCCCGGGCGCGGCGTGCTGGCGCGCGTTGGCGATGAGCTTCTTGACCTCGTCGTAGGTGGCGCCGTTCTGCGAGAAGATGCAAATCTGCACCCACACAGCGGAGGGCTTGCCGTTCTACGCGGCCTGGCGGTCGAAAGATTGCCAGGAGGCCGAGTTGGTGTCGGTCCAAGACTGGACGACGGCGCCGCCGGTGCCGTATGGTCCCCACATGCGGGTGCCGCCGACGGCGACGTAGCCCTGGGCGACGTTCTCGGCCATAGAGCAGCCGATGAAGCCCATTGAGCGGGCGGATTGAGCTTCGACGCCGGGGAGGAGAGCCAGGGCTGGCATGACGCCGAGAATGATGTTGGAGAAACTAAGCTGCATGGTCGCGGTGGTTGGAACTTTGGAGTTAAAGTCAACGTGAAAACCTGTTGTCGAGAATGTGTTGATGTCTTGGGGAAGGAACTGTCTCAAATCCACGAACAATGTCCTATTTTATGCACCAGTGGTCCTGAGACCTTGAAAATCCCGAGAGAAATGCCGCGAGATACCGTCCTTGGCTCCCGAGATCTCCATAGAGACGTCGGAGCAGCACTTCCGCATGGGGAAACTGAGAAGTAATTGCCAGTTCGTGCTCAAATGTGACAAAGAGAGGTTCATTTGCCCTGTGCTATTGCATTTTGGGCTTGATTCAATTCAGAAATGACATTGTCCCCTGTTCCGCAACTCAGCCAATACTCACAAGAAAAGAGGAGGTGCCCCCAGTTATTTATTCAGCCTGTCGTTTTGAAGCCCTCCCCAATTATGGATGCTCCATGCTGTTATGAAGTCATCCAGACAAGCCCGTGACTAATACGGCTAGCTATTCCAAACGCAAAAACACCAGTACTTAAAAGGTGGAAAAGTCACGTTCGGCACCATAGCATGATTGTTACATGGCCGCCAAAGAAAAGAGATAGCTTAATTTCTGTCTAAACTGTCAATCAGTATTAGGTATTGCAGTGCATGTAGAATACCCCATGAGCTGATCATAGAGATTTCTCTCTCAGTCTATCCTGGCCCTCATAAATGTTGCCGTTGGAGTCATTCGGCAGTCAGCACAATGTGCCCGCAAGCCGTAACTTACTCGAAAGTATTACAAACGTAAGAAGGAAAAAAAGAAAGTTTTTGTCTCTCTTCAAAAACTTCTTTCGGAGAATAAGTCAACATTTTGGGCATTTGCTATCAAGTGCGCGAAAAGAAAGAGGCGTTTCCAGAAATGAGGAACGAGCTGTCATAGATGTAAGAGCACAGCCATGGCGTCGTTATTCGGGGGAGGATGACTCGGCTTACATGAACCTTGAGCGGCTTCAGTCGTGACTCATTGGGGCATAGCTACACGGTTAAAAGAGGCTTCCTATAGTCAGCTTGTCCCTCTCGATCTTAACACAGGACACGGAAATCGACCAAATCGAATTGATTGCGTTTGTACTTCAATTGTTCATCATCCCAAGGACTGCAAGAAGAAAGTCGTCTTTCCTGGTGTTGATCTCCCCTTCAACTCCACCAAGCCGGTACGTATCTCCACCCCCAAAACAGGCCTCCCCCAGCGTCCATTCCCCTTCCCGCAGTTCATCCGGCACCAATGCAAGGCTGAAGACGGACCTGCAATTGAGTGGAAGACCCTTTCCAGACACTGCGGGGCAATTCTTTTTTTTTTTTTTTTTTTTTTTAACTGCCGTCTGCCGCAGCTGCCCGCCGCAGCACTGGGAGTTGCCGCCGAACGGACCTGACCTCTGATGCGCCTCCAAAATCCAATCCCTCCCACTGCAGCATCGTCGCCGACCCAAGTCACCTCGCCCAAATCTCACGCTCCCCAACCCGAAAGCCAGCCACCAAGCTGCAGCTGCACCACCCCCAAACCGCCCAATGCTTTTCGATCCGTGACCTCGAGCTCATTTTTCGCTTTAGCCTGTTAGTCCATTCGCAAATGTAGCAATTCCACTCAACGAACCTTTCCGACCGCAAACCTCTTTGGCGCATACGACGCCAGCCGGATTCCTTCCCCCAGGCGAAAAAAAAAATCCACGAGGAAAAAGAGCACCCCCACCACGAATCTCCGTTCGACTTTCGTCCTCTCGCCAGGAACTCTCTCCGAATACCCACGAGCATACCTTCTTCTAACACCCCTCAAACCGACACGCTCGAATAAACCAGCGATCGCCACACGAATACACACAAAACCCGGCCGTCGCAATGGCTACGACCCCAGCGGCCCCCTCCCCCGCCGCCACGACCTCGAGCACCGACTCCAAGCTCGAGGTCTGGAAGGAGACGCTCTACGACGCCTTCCAGAAGGCCGGCGACGAGAACCACCTCTTCAGCCAGTACGACATCCTCGACTTCGAAATCATCCCCAACCGCGACACCGTCACCCTCCTCAAGGTCCTCCAGAGCCTCACAAATGACCGCCTCCTCATCGCCGTCTCCTCCCAGACGGGCCTCGCCTGGCGATGGCGCTCCATGGAGGATGCAGAGAAGTAAGTTCCTCTCCCACGCCCTTCTCCTTGCCTCACCAAGGCCTATAACTAACACCCCTTCCTCTCCAGGTACAAACTCTGCTCGACCGACGAACAGCGCATGGTCTACGGCGCGATCGACGAGGCAGGCGGCGACGGCATCTGGTCCAAGACAATCCAGCACCGCCTCAACATGCACGACTCCGTCCTCAAGACGGCCCTCAAACAGCTCCAGGGCAAGGGCCTCATCGCCCCCTTCAAAAACGTCGAGCACCCCAACAAGCGCATGTTCATCAAGGCCTCCATGCGCCCCTCGGAGCGCGCCACCGGCGGGCCCTGGTTCACCGACTCCGCCTTCGACGAGGCCTTCATCGAGGACCTGCAGCGCGTCATCTTCGACCAGATCAAGCGCAAGAGCACCTACCACAGCACCGGCGCCTCCTCCTCCTCCGCGACCCGCACCGCCGTGCCCAAAAAGGGCGTGCTCAAGGGCGGCCTCGACAACAAGGGCAAAAAGCGCTCCGCGGGCGAAATCTCCGGCGGCGACAGCGACGATAAGACCGCCGCCTCCTCCTCCTCGCCCGCCGTGCAGCAGCCCCCACCCAAGCGCGAGCCCGCGCTGCTCCCCCTGCCGGCCGGCTTCAAGGAGTACCCCACGGTGCGCGAGATCGCGCGCTTCATCTCGCAGACGGGCATCACCACCGACACGATCCTCGGTGAGGAGGACGTGCAGAAGCTGATCGACGTGCTCGTCTTCGACGGCCTCGTCGAGCCCGTCCGCGTGGCCGGGCGGACGGGCTACCGCGTCTGCAGGGCGCCGCGGCAGAGCCTGCAGGGCTGGGCGGGTCGGCAGGAGGGCGGCGCCGACGAGGGCGGGCCGGAGCCGCGCGTCAACGGGTTCACGGAGGCGCCGTGCGGGCGGTGTCCCGTGTTTGAGCTCTGCGAGGAGGGCGGGCCGGTCAACGCGAGCAATTGCGTGTATTTCCAGCGGTGGTTGGGGTTGGAGTGATCCAGGGTGAAGAAAAAGAGAAGAAGGAAAAGACGCTTCTGTGGGCTGGAGGGGAGGTAGCTAGGCTTTTTGGGACTGATTTCGCATCACGGCAGCATTGCATTGGCGTTGGCACAAAAAGAGGACACACGGGCGGTACGGGTTCAGAGGTAGAATTTTTTAATCCTCCCAAGCGGAATAGTTTTGGCAGTCGGGCTGACTGTGGAATATACCATCCTGTATTTGACATGGTAATTGGGCAATTGGCTAAAGCGGTTGACAAGTGCTTATGGGTGTTGATGACATTCACGAATCACAGTAGACATGGTGACAGACAGGTGGCAGCAACTTTTGTCTTGGCTTGCTAACTATCAACAGTGATGCTGGTCTACGCCAAGACGCGCGACGGCGCGTTTTCCCAAGTTTTCACCAAATCCTCCATCTTCCCCTGCTAGCTTCCGCTTCTCTCGATGCTACTAACTGGCAGAGTTGGACCTAAACGTACAAAGCACGAGCGAGGGGCAGTTTACAACTGGCCAGAGGCGACGATGGTGGGGCGCTTGCCGTAGCGGACGGTGCCGGAAGAAGAGCCAGTGGCCTCAAGAGCCTTGACGATCTTCAGGGACTGGTCGTCGGCAACCTCGCCGAAGACGACGTGGCGGCCGTTGAGCCAAGAGGTGACGACGGTGGTGACGAAGAACTGGGAGCCGTTGCTAGAAGACTGTTAGACTGGGTTCGGAGGATGAGTGAACGAAAGAAAGCTTACGTGTTGGGGCCGGCGTTGGCCATGGAAAGCAGACCGGGCTTGTCGTGCTTGAGCTGGAAGTTCTCGTCGGCGAACTTCTCGCCGTAGATGGACTTGCCACCGGTGCCCTGTGAAGTGTGAGCTAACTGTCTCGCTTTTGGAGATGGGGAAGGAGACGTACGTTGCCACGGGTGAAGTCACCACCCTGGAGCATGAACTCGGGGATGATGCGGTGGAAGGAAGAGCCCTGGTAGCCGAAGCCCTTCTCACCAGTGCAGAGAGCACGGAAGTTCTCGGCGGTCTTGGGGACAACGTCGTAGAAGAGGTTGAAGGTGACGCGGCCGTTCTGGACTGTTGATGGAGTTGGTCAGCAGAGCTCGATTAACAGCAGCGGGGTCGTTGCCGAGGGGTTGGGGGAAGCAAAGTTTGGGCTGAGGTGGGGTGATTTGACGGCGCGGACAGTGCTTTGGGGTGAAGCATTGAGATGTCCGCGACTCCCAAAGAAGGAACGATGACGGTTCATGATGGGATCTGATGGAAGAAGGGAGCTCTTACCCTGGACGTCCTTAGTAGGCTTGTTGGAGGCGTCGAGGATGGGACCCTCCCACTCGATGTCGAAGTAACTGCAGCAACAGCATTAGTATGGCGTCATTGACAGCTTGCGATGCTTGTGTAGAGCATCGCAAAGGCATCGTCGAGGGCGAGATAACTTACACCTGGGGACCAGACATGATGTTGGATGCTGAGAAGAATCTGACGGATGGCTTGGTGGTAGATGCAGACAGAGGAGTTGCACAGAGAGGTTTGATGAGGGTGGAAGGTCGAGAAAAGGGCGAGGGTGAAACGGAGAAGCAGGCGAGGTTATGGCGGGGTAGGAGGGGTCGCAAAAGGGTTGGTCTCATTTTTTCAACAGCTGGTGGAGGGGTTTATTGTTAGCGCAGGAGCTCCCCACTGCGGGTGCCGAAACAGCCAATCAGAGAGCGCAGAAGAGGGGCAAAGAGGGGCGTATCCAGTCACGTGAAGTCAGCTGTTGCTGAGATCACTGGGAAAAGGTACAAGGCAGGGAGTACCTGCCAATCTTCGGCGGTAGGTACCTCCACTTTGTGTGCTTGACGTCGTGGTTGCGACGGGGGTGGAAGGCAGGAAGGGACGT